TAGGTAAGACATGGGAGGTAATTATTCTGCTCTACTCAGCACTAGTGAGGCCGCAACTGGAGTTCTGTGTGCAGCCTTGAGTTCCACACTTTAAGAAAAATGTGGACAAATTGGAGAATCCAGAGGAGAGCAACAAAAATGATAAAGGTTTAGAAAATGTGAGCTATGAGGAATGGTTGAAAGAATTGGGCATGTTTAGTCTGGTGAAGAGAAAACTGATGGGGGGACATAACATATGTAAAAGGTTGTTACAAAGAAGATGGTGATCAGTTGTCCTCTATGTCCACTGAGGGTAGCACAAGAAGTAATTGGCTAATGTGCAGCAAAGGAGATATAGTTTAGATATTAGGAAAATCTTTCTAACTATAATGATAACTAAGCACTGGAACAGGTTATTGAGGGAGGAGGTTGTGGAATCCTGCAGGTTTTTAAGAACGGGTTAGACTGATATCTGTCAGGAATGGTCAAGGTTTACTTGGTTCTGCCTCAGCTCAGGGGGCTAGACTTGATGACCTCATGAGGTCCCTTCCAGTTCTACATTTCTGCAATTTTGTAAGTTACATCCAGTCAAAATAGATCTGTTTTTTTCTCAAGAGCTGTTTTCCACATTGAAAGTGTACAAATGAATGTATTTAAATACAAAACTGAACATTTTTGTAGTCACTTCACAAAAAGCAGAGTTTATGGGGATGATAAAATCAAAAGAAACAGAATGGTGAAAATGTTCACATCAACTTAGTGAAAGCTACCTGGCCATGTCTATTCAACACATCTCTAGGCAGAGATGACTTTCAAAACTTAGTTTTTGTGGGTTTAAGTCAAATGTTTACCATTATATTTATATGTGATAAAATTTAATATAGTCTGACACTTTTTTGCATTGCCAGATCTCAATGGACTTATAAGGATTTTAACAGGCTCGAAGTGCTGCTGAGCTTCAGCCATGAGGCTTCCTTTATAGTTTGAGACATGCCACTCTTCATTAAATCAATGAAACTGGTGTCTGAGATTACAAATCTGTGCCCAATATCTGTCATCTGTTATAGTGTGGTGCCAGTTGCTCAAATACAAAATATTGTTTCCATTATAGAAAGAAAAGTGTTTAACCCAGAAAGAATCCAGCTAACTTCAAAGATGGAGAACCCTACACTCAATAGGTAGCAGTGCAGGGTACTTATCTATTTACCTTGCTGTTTACCAAAACACTAACTCTACTTATGCTGCCTGCCTCACTGAGTTAAATTCATCACAAGAATGGCATAAAGAACAGTTTAAAGAATGTTGGTATTTATAAAAAGTTATTTTAATTCTTGACACACAATTAGCATTTCAAAAATACACTTTTTGTATACAGGTCATTGAGTATGGTTGTTTTTTTTATATGAAAATCAATTAAAAATGGGTACCAGGGATGAAATTCTGGCCCCCCTCAACAGCAAAACTCCCACTTATTTCAATGGGTCCAGGATTTCACCCCAAGAATTTCAGAGAAATTTTCTTAGTATAAGCTTGAAACCGGTGCTTCTCATATCCCATTCATTTGAAGAAATCAGTACAGCACAATGGGAGTATTTTGCACATTACTGTTTAGCTAAAGTGAAACTATTCTGAATCTTTCCAGGCATTTCTGAATCCATGAAGCTAACCTTCAATATAGACTGTTTTTGAGATTTCTTTAATAGAGTAATAATAACTTTAGCACTATTAGATGTTTAGCATTACTGATTAATTATTCCTCACAACACCCTATGAGGTAAAAGCTCTCCTGAGAGGTGCTGCTCACCTTCAAAGAGATGAAGGCACCCTACCTTCCCGCTGAAGTGAACTGTGGGGTAAAACCACTCACCTGCTCACAGTTAGTGCCCAGTACTTTATGCCTTGAGAGGCTGATAGGCTAAGCAATTTGTCCAAGGCCACACACAAAGTCAGTGGCAGAGCTGGCATTATAACTCATGAGTTCCTGGCTGATAGCCTTGTGCTGAATCCATTAACCCATCGCACTGCCCTTCCTGGTACATACAACACTGGTGCATTTAAAATTATCTCTCTCTCTCTTTGCCATCCTCTCACATGGAAGTGACAGGATCAGAGGGTGCCTCTCGCTCTATATTTGTTAGAAAGTCCATGATTTTCACAAGGTTACTCAGGGTATTTGGTAGCTATGGGTGTTTAGAAAAAGACAACCTAAAGCCACAATAACACCCTGTCAGGAAAAGACAAAGTGTTGCCCCACTAATCACATGGACAAAAGTCACAGTGAAAAGTGCTTGGCCCAGACTTAATTAATTTCTCTATTTGTTTCTTTTTGGGGATCCAACATGAATGTTCAGGTTTCTGAGTGGCCTCATACATTCAGCTAGTAGCTGGAGTAAGATCTATTGATTTAACCCTCCCCCCAAATCACAAATGACCTCAGAGGAAAAGGAACTGAAGTTGAAATATAGTTTAATCACTTCAATACATGTCCTAGATTGTGCTGTATAAAACAGGTCAGCTTAAGGCATTGCCTCAGTTTTCAGACTCATTGTAAAATTTACAGGTATTGTTTTGTTTGTTTACTTTGTGTAACTGAGATATACCATTTTGCATGAGGGAAAATGCTTCTCAATTCTGCAAGAGTTTTAAAGTCTTAACAACCGTCACATCAAAGGGATCAATCCAGTTCCCATTGAAGTTAAGAGTTAAACTCCCATTAACTTCAGTGGGTGAAGGAGCCAAGGCCCAAGTTCTTTTATTAAAATATTTGGAGTTCTGTAAATGTTAAAATCAAACAAAAATCTAGCTTTAATGTATCATCTTATTGACTATAAAAGTGGTGCTAGGGAAAGCAGAGGTTTAGGGTATGCTGTTTTTTGGCAAAAAGTATAACTGTGCGAGGGAATGAGAGCGGAATAGGTTTTCTGATCCTCCAGGACTCTCCTGCAGTCTCCAAGAATTAAAAATTAATCTTTAATTAAAGATTGACATGTAATGAAACCTCCAGGAATATAGCCAACCATAATTACATCCCTAGAGTGGAGGTGAAATATACTGTGGCCCTGATTCTACAATCCACCCAAGAGTGGAGAGGCATGGCTACGAGAAGCCACTTGTTGCTCCCTAATTCAGACCTGCCTGGCCTGGTGGGAAAATTAATGCTGCAGGAGGACAGCCCTAATTTATGCTAGGGGAGGATCTGGTGTAGCAGAGGACTGTTGCCTCTCCCCTCCTTGTCCCCACGCCCCTAGAAAACCCCCAATACACTTCCTCCTTCCCCTTTTGCTCTGGGGTTGCAGGGAAGACTGCTGGGGCAGAAGAGCTACCTCAGCCAGATTTCTGTCAGTAGAGAGTTCCCCCATATGAGGGATTTCTCTCCACTGGTCTTTTCCGGTCACTTTAAGACCACTTTGCATTGCCTATACGGTGCAATGTAACCATAGCAGACTAAAGAATACAGCTCTATATGTTTATAGCAAATATGATATATATATATGTGAACATTTATTGTATATAACTCTATGCCTTCCTACAGCATGAATAAATACCACATAATGTAATTAATATTAAACACAGGGCCCCATCCTATAGCCCTTCCTCATGTGAATGGTCCAATTGACTTCAGCAGAACTGTTTGTGTGAGTTAGGGCTTGAGGATGAAGTCCAAATATATTTGTAAATTTTATTTTTGTAATTTTATTTTCTGCCTCCATTACTTATAGATGAAGAGTGAGTTAGAGAGTAGCAGAAATCTACCTTTTATAAAATGTATTTGGAGAAACCCTCCAACTCTTGAACCTTGTAATTTGCCTTATCCTAAAGGAATACTGTATGTAATGAGTATCTCAGGTTTCTTCTCTACTGTCAAATCCAGCAAAACCTCAAGTTATGAATACATCAGACAAATAGTTTTGTGTAATAATTTTAAGCTACAATAAAAGTAACTGATATTTCTGTCTACACCTCAAATTACCCCCATCTGTAATCTTTGGTGTAGGTACCTTTATAAAAAGATTGCTTAACACAATCAGATTAGATAACAATTTAACTGATGGCCACAAATAGAGCTTAGAGTTTGTCATGGCTACAAAGATTTTCTGTCAGTGTATAAAAGCAATTAATCAGTATGCAGAAGGTATTGCCTATCCCATAGATATGCTAATTTTGTGACACTTTGGAAACTCATGTTCTACATTTACTGTTCACACTGGATTGAAGTTAACCATCCACAGCTTGAGCAAAATGCAAGACTGCAAAATGTCACATTTTCTTATCCCTGTGTTGTCTAATTTTGAGATCTTTAGGGGTTTTTTTCTATATGTTGATTACTATGTGAAACTCAGTAATCTTATGAGTGTACAGTGAAGTTTAGCACAGAATTCTGTGACCAATTTTTCTATTGAAAACTTTAAAAAGCCATCAGATGCCTGCTAAATTATTTGTTCCAAAATTACCAAAAATACATTTAAGACCAATTATATTGTAGTACATCATAGATCAACTAAGTTCAACACATCCCTTTTTAAAAAAAAAAACAGAGCACTGTGGCAGCCAGTTGTATCTACAGCATTTATATAAATAATGCACATATATATTATTCATATGATATATATTATATAATTTTATACTACATATTAAATTGAACAGTAGTAATCTTTCAGTGAACATATTCCTCCCTACTTGCTTTAATTTGAGAACTAATATAGAAGCTGGTTCTTGTAAAGAAAATGCACTAAATAATTTACTTCAGTAGTTTCAACAATTTGTAGTCCAGAACATTTATTGAAAAAGCAAGGAAAAAGGAACAGCAACTACCAAATACAAGACCAAATGCATTTTCTTCTATACTTGTCTCTTTAAATGAGATCTTCCAATCATTTTGTTTTGAAACCCTTTTAGAGAATAAACTACTTTGTTAAATGTATTCCCCTAGAGAGTTGTACAGAAAAATAGCACAGCAGTTAATTTAGCTACAATTGCTTTTTTACCGGCAATGTTAAAATTGTATAGCTGTTATGACTCACCTAAAGCAGAATCACAGATTAGCTGCTGTGGATGTGCAGGGGCACAGCTGCATGCCTCTACCAGCTCCTGAATTCTGAGGGTGAAAAGAAGCACTGAAGACAACAAGGTGCTGTGCACAGGATTCATGCTGCCTTCAACACGGCTAACTGGCCAACTAAAAGAAAATAGTCTCTTACTGTTGATCTTATATCTAAACTTTCTAATCTCTGTGCAGTTCAATTTCAACAGACTTAAATGGTTTAGAAAAGCCCTCTAATGCTCAGTCTGACTATTCGCTTATGTTAACAGACTTCTAATTTCCCTGACATAGGACCCTCTTATTTATGGCCCTGATACTTACAAGTAACCCCGCCTTCCTTTAAGGAAAAAGCACATCATTGGTGAAAATGATGTGACAGGTTTATTGTTCCAAAAGCAAGTTTACTTTACTGGATTGCATCATAAGGTTGTTATTATGAGTCAGTGTGACTATTAATAATCAGAAGCTTTTTAAAAACATCAGTTTCTGCACTGATTTTATGATCTTTTACCGATTAGAGATTAATCTTGTGAATTTCGTGCCAGTTTTAATTTAAAAAATAAATGGTTCCTTCACCTTCCCTATCATGACCAAAGCAAACAATGTATCTAAAAGCAATGCTAACATCCTTTTTTAAAGCCAGATTTCATTTGCATTCCCTGATATTTCCCCTGTCCCTCTCTACATTTTCTTGAAATGACTTGACTGTTTGCAGGCTGCACAGAACTTCATTCATGAAGAGGAAATGTTTCAATGCCTTGTTTGTGAACCCTGAACAATTGGTAACTACAAGTAATACTGGATAAAAATCCAGGCTGCAATAAAAGCCATTTTGCTACTTCATCATATATTTAATTTGAAATAATGATTTACAAAAATTCCAGTGATATATGTTCAAAGTGAAGCTTTTATTTATTAGTATTTTGCAGTCCCCATGTTATGGGATCTATTCAAATGAAGTGCCATTTCCACATGCGCTGGCTAGGAAGTCTGTGAGCTTCTGTGACTCAACATGCACAGAGCATAGCTAGTCCTGATTCAAGAATCCAAAAGCTAATACTCTTCCCCATCTGCAGATCTCTTCCTCCTATAACCACCTTCACATAGCTTGTACACATGAATCTGCCCAAATATGAAAGGTGTCTCATAGATAGCAAGATAAGGTCTGAGCAGGGAGGACTGTGGTGTATGCCCATTTGAGAAAGGCTTACATATAGGCTGACATTAGGTATGTCTACCCTGTAATGTAAGCCCAGGGTTAGTAGAACTCGAGTTAGCAGACACATTTGTAAGTCCAGATTGTTGAACACTGGGTTCCAGCCTAGGACTCTAGCATCTATATTGCATTAGATGTTGTACTAACACAGAACAAAAATACTGTCTCTGCCCCAAAGAGCTTACAATCTAGGGGCTTGTCCGTATGACAAGTTACTGCGGGGCAAGCCAGAATGCGCACTCTGGGACTTTCACTGTGCTATAGCAATGTCCACATGGAACATTACGCCACGGCTAGCTGGTGCACTGTAGACTCGCACCTTAGCTTGTTCCATAGACAAGCCTTAAGTATAAGACAAGAGACAACACATGGATACGGATACAAAGATGGGGGAGTACAAGGAAACAGTATTGGTCAGTATGATGGGCAGTGGCATCAGCAAACCACGAGCCCAATCATTGTCATTTTTTTGGTAGGCATCAGAGAAAAGGAGCGTTTTGAAGGATGACAATGCATTAGTTTTGCAGATGTTACTCTGAACTCTCTTTCTGTTTGGCGGTTCTTTATTGCACCCAAGTTTGAGATCAAATTTTCATATCAAGCTGTCCCATGCATACACAAACTACAATCTTTATTCACAGCCCCATGTGTGCCAGTAGTCTTCTGGATACTAGGCATGGGGAAATCAACTGCAGTTCCTCAAATCGCTATGCCCCCTACTCACTTCTATCATACCTTTCCTGCTTCACATTATGTTGCTTTGCTTCTCATGCACTTACAGCCCTGACGGCCACCTCTTTCTCAGGATTAGCTGGACTGTCTCAGTGTCCCTCCACCTCTTCTGCAATCTGAGACCAAAAAAAAATTTAGTAGTGCACATCCCAGGCAAGAATTTTTTTAAAAAGCCTTCGATTTAACTTCTGTCAGAAACAAAGGCTATGGATTAAGCTATGGCAAGGTATTTTAATGGCCTTTATGCTCAATAGTTTAGATCTATCGATTATGAAATCTAACTCAGGATAATAGGGACTGAAAGTGGCAATGTGATGTCTGTTTGGTGGCCTGGAAGAAATGATTGGATGATGATTGACCAGTTTCTACAGGACAAGTACCCTATATCACATAACTCCTGTCGCAAATAGCACTAATAGGCCATAGTGGTGACCATCTTAGCAAAGCCCAAAGACTGAATGGGTCTGGGGGATGAAATATCTTATTTAGAGATAGACTGTCCCTATGATGGCTACTTAAGGCACATTGGTGTGATATTTTGGAGAAGCTGACCCTCCCACTTGCCCATGCTCTACCTGTCTTGTAAACTTTGGTGTCCAATGCTGTCAGCACAATTACTTTTTACACGCACTATATTCAAAAATGAAAATAATTTATAAAAATGGTTAATAATAAACTATTTACTATTTTCCAGTCATTGGTTATGGGTTGGGAGTTAGATGCACACATTAGATTATGGGCTGGTCTACAGTGGGAGCTTATATTGGCTACATCTTTCAGGGGTGTGAAAAATCCACATCCTCGAGTGAGACATCTATGCCAACCTAACCCCCAGTATAGACAGTGCTAGCTCAATAGGAGAATTCTTCTGTCAACCTAGATACTGCCCCTCGGGGAGGTGGATTAACTAAAGCAACAGGAGAGCCCTTCTCATTGCTATAGTAAGTGTCTACACTGAAGCGCAACAGTGGGGCAGCTGCAGCAGTGTTTTAAGTGTAGACATACCAAGAGTAGAGCCAACTACAGAAATGTAAACATGACAAAAGTAAATTTTATGTTTTATCAAATCTTGAGCTATATTCTACAGAAGTATGGTAGTTGTGTAAGCACAGTAAAACACATTTCTTTTTGTTATAATCTGCATTAATACTCTGTGAAGCCACTCCAGGATCCAATCCAATTAGACTTTTAAGAAAGTCTTTCAAAGCCATCTGCACACAGGTGGAACATTTAAAGTGTGGTTATGGTTAGAAAAGTTTATTGACTATAAATGACGGATATTACTTAGCAAATGTGCTTCTTCTGCATTCTGAGTTATATCTATCTACTTTACTGACAAAAATAAGTGTCTATTTTTTACTCCTGGTAGGAGAGGGAATAGGGCTGTGTGAAGGTGAGCTGGATTCTTTTCTGTCTCACACATCACCAAGTTAATTAACAACTAAGTTCCAATTGCAGAATCTTTTTTAGTAGTAATAATGTGCAGCTTCAGTCCCAGATCCTAGGGTGAGTTTGCAGTGTGGGCAGTTTGAAGTGGACTACAGAGTTCACATCCAGATCTGAACTTCCCCAAAGTTGTAGGATGTTGGGATCCAGGGGTTTGGATTTATAAACTAAACAAATCTGATGGAGAGTCACTGAGATAAAAAAGCCTTTCAAAGCCAATAAATATTTTTATACCTTTACCTTTCAGAGTATGGACCTGATCCTGCAAATAGATATGCATACATTTTCAAGATTGGGTCTTATATCTGCATGTTTAGTTAATCATGTATGTGGATCCACTGATACTTGATCAACTGTCAATAGAACCTTTATACCTTTGTTGTGATTCCTAAACTTTCTGAACAAGTTGTTTTAGTCACAAAATAAGCTGCAACCTTTATAATTTTTTCTGCTAATAATAGGATAACATCTGTGAGAGGCCTGTATGTGCCTGACACACAGCTAGTCTGGCACATCCCCATTTTGAGAAATATTGTCATTGCGTGATCACTGTTAGAATATTTGAAAGTCAACATAAGACAACATGGTAATCCATTTTAATGCACTGTACATGGGGTAATTAAAGTTAGTGAAAGGTGTGGCTGCCCACTGGTTGGTTAAGCAGTGTTTCATACCGAGAGTCTACCATACCCATGCCCTGGGATCTTCACTGGCAGCCTGTGAGCATACAGGTGGAGTTCAAGGTTTTCTTTTTAACCAGCCCCACTGCTTTTGGTGTTGTGGTACAATAGTCCCTTCTAGAGACATCTGACAACATGCTGGATGTCCCAAGATCTTGGACACAAGTACTATAGGCATGCCATATACTAGGCTCTGCAGGCTCTTACTCTCCATAGATCACCACAAACATTGATATTGCAAATAAATAACTGAGGATTATTTGACTAGGTCTGCCAGAAGTTGGTCTCAAGTTGCATTGGGGGAGGTTTAGGTTGGATGTTAGGAAAAACTTTTTCACTAGGAGGGTGGTGAAGCACTGGAATGGGTTACCTAGGGAGGTGGTAGAATCTCCTTCCTTAGAGGTTTTTAAGGTCCGGCTTGACAAAGCCCTGGCTGGGATGATTTAGTTGGGGATTGGTCCTGCTTTGAGCAGGGGGTTGGACTAGATGACCTCCTGAGGCAGGGCCGGCTCCAGGGTTTTGGCTGCCCCAAGCAGCCAAAAAAAAAACAAAAAAGCCGCGATCGTGATCTGCGGCGGCAATTCGGCGGGAGGTCCTTCGCTCCAAGTGGGAGTGAGGGACCATGCGCCAAATTGCCGCCAAATAGCTGGACATGCCGTCCCCCCTCCAGAGTGGCCACCCCAAGCACCTGCTTGCCAGGCTAGTGCCTGGAGCCGGCCCTGTCCTGAGGTCCCTTCCAACCCTGATATTCTAAGATTCTATGATTCTAAGTTAAGCAGTGCAAATATTCTAGACACAATAACTTTGAACAGTTACAGCGAACAATTACATTATTTTCCAATATAAATCCCTAAATGGTTTGGGGCCTAGTTACTTGAGACTAGATCTACATGAATAATTGATTGGGTTACAAGCAGTTCAAAAAAATTTTTTAATTGTTTTGGGTTGACCCAAAATGAAATTTTCTTGAAATTTTGGTGAACCAAAAAAAAAATCACTTTGGGTCAAATAAAATGTTTTGTCAATCCCAAAGTAAACTTTTTTTTCTGATTACAAGCTTTTTTACATTTTTGAATTTGAAAAATTGCAAAACCCAAAATCATTTCAAATCAAAAAATCAAAATGTTTCAAATTGAAAATGTCAAAACAGAAGCTTCTAGGTTTTTTGTATCAAAGGGGTAGCCATGTTAGTCTGGATCTGTAAAAAGCAACAAAGAGTCCTGTGGCACCTTATAGACTAATAGA